GCCAAGAAAACACAATCAAGTGTGACTGTGAAAGTCCAGACCAGTTCACTCGGGGCTTATGTAACCAGCCTCCACATCCCCCCCACCTCCGTCAATCAAAGGGACCGGAGCCACGCGGGTGACAAAGGATGCTGGCCCACGGAGAAGCCCACCCTGGCCCTCGAACTCCAGCCCGGCTGGCAGGGCTGCATTTGCAGATCTGAGAAGCTCTGTACTCAGAAAGCATGGCATTCAGACCCAGCTCGCGGGGACTCGGGATCCACCCAGGGTAATGGCGGAGAACGACCGAGGCCGGTCTCCCAAAAACTGCTTTGCGTGTCAATTTCCCACCTACGCCCCCAGCTGAATAAAAACAAACCGGCCTCTTGTGTGAAATGGGCTTCCGGATGGGATTCAAAAGAGCCTACGACCTCCGCTGACTGGCTAAGAGAGAGCTCCTGGGCCCGTGGAGTCGCAGCCCCGAACTGCGCTGGCTGCGAGGACGGCCTTCTTGTTCCATGCGTCCACCAAGTGCCCGCGGGCACAGCTCCGCTCCGACACGGTGCTGGGCGGGCAGCCACACGGGGCCCACACGACTGAGAGGCCACAATCTACGGGGAACAAAACTGGAGGTCTGCTCTCCAATAGGTTAGACCTGTTCTTCTCTTAACTTTTTACTCTGAAGGACTTCTGGAAGCGTGGGAAGCTGTTAAGACCGGCAGTGCCTGTGTGGACTTCACCCCACTTCCCTCACGGCGACGGCTCACCCGTCACGGGGGAGCACCCATCACAAGGGAGCACCGTGGCCGTGCGGCAGAACTCATCCGGGCCCCAGGCTCAAGCTCCCGAATCGTACTCCGAAGGCTTGTCCGCAAAGGTGTGGACAAGCTCCCAGGCTCAGGCTTACCATGAGGCACGTCCCAGGAGACTGCTCAGCTGGCCCGGGAGCACTCTCTGGTGCCTCAAGCCAACTCTGACCAGCTCTCTGTTCTCAGTCCCCCCCCCCCCCCCCCCCCCCCCACCGCCCCCTGAATCTCGCATCTGCCTTTTTATCCCCTGTTCTTTGGGTGACGGCAGACCAGAGACTTCTGGGGCTGCTCTGGTTTTGAAAAGGCTGCCTGCGGGAAGGGGACAGAAATAGGTTTGAGGAGGGAGGGCGGTGCTCTGGGGGCAGGAGAAAGATCGACGATGTTAAATCCCAGCGGCAAGGGAGCGTGGCGAACCCAGGGAAGGCAGGACCCGTGCGGACCCACCTGGGCGCGGGGCGTTCAGGGCTCTGAAAACATAGGTGGGAACCACCGGGGCACAGGCTTCCAGAAAGGGTTGACTTGCTATGCCTGTATGAGCTGAGCGATTTATCACACGGACTGTGTCCCCCGGTTACGCGTGTAGGAGTCACCAATCCCCAAATGGTCACACCCTCCTCTTCTCCACCCCTACATCTCTCAGGGAGGGTTCTCGCCCACCTAGCCAGGGGGCTGCACCGTGGCCTGGGAGCCCAGAAGAGGGAGCCGGTCTGTCCCAGTCCGGATGTTTCTGGGAATGTGACCTGAAGTCCTGGAAGGCAGCGGTCGGTAAAGGAAGGGCAGCCTGAGGCAGGCGGGCATTCCGCATCCCAGGCGGGCCGGCTCTCGCTAAGGGCCTGGGCGAGTGCCCGAGTGCCCAAGTGCCCTGGGCGGATCAGAAAGCAGAGGCCTGCCCCACCACAGGCTGCTGCACCACGCAGGGGTGCAGGGCCCGCCCTCGCCAACCGCCTCTCACCTACCTTTCTCGCCATGATGAGGCCAGAGGGTCTGTGTTGGACCTTGGTGACCACCCCGCCGTTCCCGGCCCCCAGTTCCGAGATCCTTTCGAAGTCATCGTCCTTGAGCTCTCCGACCTTGGCCTTCTGGGTGAGGAAGGCTTCCAGACGCTTCTTCTGCTGCTCGTCGAGTTCAAGCTCTGCTAGCTTCTTCTGGAGGTCCACCAAGTTTGCTCTGCAAAGACCCCAAGGGCAAGGGCTAGCCAAGAACATGCAAGCTACAGAGAGATGACCTGGGCCAGCCAGGCTCACCGTGTGGCCGCCGCATGCCAGGCCCCATGTGTGTGGCTGGAAGGACGCGGGAATAGATCAGACCCAAGTACTGTGCAGAGGACACGACCCCCTCCCTGAGGACGGGCTCTTATTATGTTGCTCTGAACATTAAGCATTTATACACACAAACATTCCTGGGGCCACTTAGTAAAACAACCAACCACGTACTCGGCACTTTATTGGGTGATTCAAGGAATTTTCCAAGGGATTTTGACAATAAGGTAATTTCACTAATGCCTTGACTTTAAACCAAATCTTGGAGTAAAAAGCAGCTCCCTGTAAGAGGTGGGCAGACATTAGCTCAATGCACACAAGGACTAACACAGTGCTGTGCAAAAGAAACCGAACAGGGG